ACCAGTCTTTTATTTGGGCACCCCACCCCCAATTTCCCAAACTTTTAGGGTCAATGCTTGTATTTGTGGAGGAGGCAGTGCAGTTGTCGTACCTAGGAGTGTCTCCGATAGGTGTTGAATTTCGTGGGGGTGATCTAGAGACTGGATTTCAGGTCCTGCAGAAAGAAACCTCGCGGCCAATCTGAAACAACTATCAGATAGGTTCCCGTCACCCGGTTCAGGTGTGCTAAACTCAGGGTAACAGACTTCGAGGGGGGAACACCCATGCTAGAGGAAGAAGGTGCCACTACGCAGCCTTTTTTTTCCTTTATAATCTGTCTGCTATGATCACCCTGGTAGGTAATGTACCGACAGAGTTATGTTGAATTTGTCCGTCAGGTGCAATAGTTTGAAGGTTAGTGTAAGTAACCCTATCGGTTTCGTTTCACCTTCTTTTTGAATGTATGCAATCAGAGTTTCATTTGGCCGATTGTATTAACACGTGTGTGTTATGTAATATTTTTACATTTATTTTTATTGCGGCTATCACTGCATGTAGTTCCTTTTTGTTGCAGTGCCACGTTTTCTATTGGTATGACCATTTTCCTGACATGGTTTCCGTCTAGATGTGACCCCCCCAACCCCAATCCGAGGCGTCCGTCGCTAGGAAGTGGGTTGCAGGTTCTTTGTGTATAGGCGTCGTCTGATGAGTAGCTCCGAGCCACCACATCTGTTCCTGCCCTACAATCTGAGGCAGCAGTTGACATCGACGAGGTCGGATCTTGTTGAATTGTCGCAGAAAGATCTGTACCTGACGACAATGAAGCCTCCCTTGGGGCACGAAAAAGTTTGCGAAGCTTACTTGTCCTAGCAGACATTGTCACTCGCGAATACAACGCATAACTATGGTTTATGCGCTGTATTTTTACCTTGGGTAGCGACATCACATTGACCGAAGTATTCCAGCGAATTCCAAGGTATTCTAAATTTTGGGTTGGTACCACTACGGATTTTTGGTAATTGATTTTCCAACCTAGGTGTTCCAAGTGTCTCACGGCCTCCGCGGCCTGAGAATGTAACTTGGAAGGTGTTCCAAGTGTCTCCCGGCCTCCGCGGCCTGAGAATCTAACTTGGAAGGTGTTCCAAGTGTCTCCCGGCCTCCGCGGCCTGAGAATCTAACTGGGAAGGTGTTCCAAGTGTCTCACGGCCTCCGCGGCCTGAGAATTTAACTTGGAGTCGTCCGTCTGGGTTGACCAGAAGGTAGTCGTCTAGGAAGACTAGCACTCGACATCCCTTCGCACGTAAGGTCTCCGCGACCCAACATGATACTGCAGAGAAAAGGTGTGCTGCTGACGCTAGCCCAAGGAACGCTAAGGAAGGCAAGTCATATTTTCGTATAACTGCCCTTTTTAACTGCGCCTTAATAAACCTAATTAAATCGTCGGTGTGATCTCGCTGCCGGTAGATGGAAATAGGCTTGTGATAAATCTATTTATCATCCAATCCCCTGGTTGAAGAAAGTCTGGGACTAAGCCGTGGGAGATCAATCGAAAATGTTTTGTCTTCACGAATCGGTTTAGTTTTCGCAAATCTACAATAGGACGCATCGTGCCGTCGCTTTTCCTGCGAAGAACCATTTTGGATATAAAGCGAGTGTTTTGTTGAGAACTGTTTGTAGGATACCTTGCTTGATTCAGGAGTTTTTTGATTATCTGCGATGTGATACGAATAGATACGCAGGTGACGGTTCGGTTGCATATTCACTTACTATTCGATTTGTTGGCATTAACAAAGGCGGTTTCTTGTACAGAGGTATGCGGAATCCTTGAATTGTATTGGATAGTAATTTTTTACCGTCATTGTTAGATAACGGGTAGTTTGATTTTCCTGTTAAACGTTCGCATCGTTTCTTGTTTTATGTAGGTATTACGAAAAATATTTTTTTCCATTTTGTGTCTGGTGTCTTTATTTGGATGTAGATACTGACGATTCTTTGTAACTAGGTTTAAAAAGCTCTCTTACTCTTGAAGGTTGCGGCGGAGATAACCATAATTGCGGCCCACCAAGTGATTGTATGAGGGACGCGAGCTTATTTTTGTCAATTAATAAACCTTGCTATAGGAGGTATATTACTAAGCACAGTTTGAATACTTTTGTCCGAAATCTCACTTATTTAATCTTTTACGCGTAGTTTCTATACATTCCGCTCGTTTTCCGCATACAATTTGCAGGGTTTGTTCATGCAATTTGTGAGAAGGTGATTCATTACCAAAAATATAGGATATTTTTGTGAAAAGATTAGCGGGTTTTAATTCCGTTGGGTTATTACGAGTCCAGTTTATGATTTTTTGTAATTCAGATTGTAGTAATTCCCTTTGACATAAGACAACGTATTACGTCTTTAATTTTGAGGTAACAAAAGCCTGGAGACGTCAGCATGTCTGCCAGGGCTTTTTTAGATCTAATATGTTACCACATGGCAGTATTAAAATGTTGGAGTTTTATAAGCTCAATATATTATTATATTTTTATAATTTTTATATATTTATTTTGTAATATTTTTCCCGGTCGACGGATTAATAAAAAATCGCTATAGTAGTTGGTCGGGCGGTGGGTACCCTCGTCATTGGACGCACTGGCGTTGACATTTGGTACATATTGTTGATGCATTATAAAATTTGTGAGGAAACTCACCTGATTATATAACGCGTCGATCATGGGATCGACCGTTACCTGTGCTACTCGTTTCCTTTTCTTTCGTGGCGGTCCCTCGCGCTCCGAGTCGCTTACAGACGCGCCGCTGGTGCACGTGGAGTCCTCTTTGTCTTGTTCGTGACCTTGCTCGACACTAATTTAGACTACCTGCCTGATTGGCCCCGGCGGCGGCCTTATCGGCATCGTGAGTCTATTACGCACTTGTAATGTATAAATAATACGTTTTGCTAATAATTAACACTAAGAAAGACCATAAGGTTTTAAGTCGTTATTGAGTCGTTTCGGTTTCGACCGCACGCGGCGAAAGTACACAACGCTATGACTGTGGAAATGACAACGTCCTAGCTGGTTAAGATAAGTATGAAGTTGAGGCGATTACAGCGCCATCTATTCTATCTAAGAGGAACTATTTCACTCGGTATGTATCGCACTTCATGGCTAAGTATACATTGCTTCTTCATTATACAATGCTGTATGTTTTCCGGAGGCACATCAATAATAATCATAAAGCCACTTTAAAAAAAACGTGTATACGTGACTAAGAACGATTATCAAGCTCACAGAAGGCTGATCACATATCTATAATTAAACGGAGAGTGTTCAAAGGAGTTGTTAGAATTAATACCTGCAGTAGTTTCATCATCGGACGTCGAGGTATAATACAAAATTCCACACGTATCACCTCGACGTCCAGGCAGCACAGTAGTTTTTTAGAAAAGTTTTTGCCACGCACCACCACTATGTGAAACCAGCTACCGACTGAAGCATTTCCCAACCAACTTGACTTAAGGGGGCCTACCATGAACTTTCTTAAAACAATCCAGTTGAGATGCAGTTGAGTTTAGGTACCTAAAGTCAATAGCATTTTTTCGTACCATGACCGCCTATAAGCTGAAACGTATTTGCATCGCAAGACCGAATGAAAGAACGATAATTTTATTTGAGGTTTCTATGTAAGTTTTGAAATTTAACTGTCAAACTTTCTTTGACAGATGTTTCTATAAAAATAAATAAAATATAAAATTGTTTTCAATAATTCATCAATCATAATAAGCTATTATGTCTTAATATATTTATTTATTTAATATATAAAACTACTCTTTTGATATATTTTCAACAGTTTTCTGGTGCTATGACAGTGGACACTTATTATTTTTAAACGTTTCCGTCAAATTTTGATAGGAGCTTTCAATATTTTGGTGTTTACAAAATTTCAGTTTTATAACTATAGTTTTACAAATTGTTTCACTTATTAAATAATATGAGGGGGTAAGTATTGTTCACAAATTTGTTGATTAAAAATAAATACCTATATCGAAGTTAATTCCTGATAAAACTCTTTGCAAAAGATATTACAAATCAACTTAATATTCGAAAATCATAATAAAAATTATTTCCTTCAAATTGTACAAATTTAGTTTATACGTTAACTAATTCATATAATATAAATATGTAATTATATTTTCTTTTACAGCTTAAACCTGACAAACTCGCTGAATTGAGAGAATGAAATATATGAATATATGGTTATATCCAATTGAACATTGCCTGAAGACACCTTTTTCTGTCTTGATGGAGTCATCTACTAAATAAATACTGTTATTATATTATTTTCAAATGGCTTATTATTTACACGTTATAAAAATACCTATGTTTTTTTAGACAACAAAAAAGCAGAGGATAATCAATCAAATCATGAACATAATGAGGAAAAATTTAATTATAATAAATATCTACTATTGATATGGCAAGCTTATTTATTATAAAATCTGATATATTGGGGAATTATGTTTGTGTTAGACATGCCTAAATAATTAATTGAATATTATTGAACAGCTTGTGCAATTATTTTTAGGTACACTAAAATCCTCAACGAATCAAAGTCGTTAATCTATAGCAAAATATAAACTCGATATCTACGAAGTAGGTAGAAGGGCATTGCCGTCTTGTTTCTCATCTCCGTCGATATTTTAATAATTAATTTATAATGACACTTTCTAAACTCAAAATACCTCAAATTATCCGAAACAGACATAGTAGATACATACTATACAGTATACTATATATATCTATAGGTTCTTAACTATTATTTGGACATTTCGATACAAAAAAGTTGGACAAAAAGTAACTTTTTTAGAATCGCTTATTCTGTCATAGTTGGAAGGCGCAACTGTCAAATTTCGGTTCAGCCGAGCGGTCATGGTACGGATTTTCATACAAATTGAACGAACGAAATCTGATAACCGCTAAGGTCACGTGGGAACCTAAACTGTCTCGTTTTTTCGATGTCATGGTACGAATTAGCGATGCGTCTCAGTTGTAGGTTGTCAATAGGCTCGCAATAAGAGTTCATGGTAGGCCCCCAGGTCCTTCAAGAAAATAGTGAGTTGTTACTGGCTATGTGTTAACGATTTTTGTTTTTATACAGATTGGAGTGGCAGTGGCAACGGAGAGTATCGAGTTAGAAGACAGCTCTCAGTATCATCAGACTCGAAATTACTAGACGAGGGGGCGAGAGAGGAGGCAAGGGTGATTATGAGGCCGAAGCGACCTCCCAGGCCCAAGTCCGAAGCGTTCCTAGGACCACATGAACATTCAAATAGACGTACCAAGCGATTTAGTGCCTTTGGGGTAAGTGACATGAGATTTCATGATATATTACATATATATAGCCCTCTGGCATATGTTTGCTTTTGAATATTTTCTTATTATTACACCCATTTTTGGTTTAAAGAACGTACCCAGTATTACCAGGCATAATGACAAGCTACGGCGGCCATTATATTGCTGATAGTACCGATATACATTTATAGGCGTTTGGCATACGGTGACACAGTTTTGTTTCCCGTGGGAATTGCTTCAAATGTTACTTTTACGTCACTTATTCTGCTATTCGATATTACTGTTCATAGCATAATTTATTCCTATTATGTAAACTATGCAATACAAGATATCAGTATGATTGTCTTATTCATTCAACCCCTATTTTTTATTATAGTAGATAGTTATTTTTATTGACCCAAAAAATGTTTCCTAGAAATAACATACATGGCAAGACAACGCATGCCGCGTCAGCTAGTATTTTTATAAGAATCTGTTTATCCTCATTGTAACATGTGTGATGTTTGAGAGCATAATAAAATAAATAATACATCTTAGTTTGTTTACCATCTTTCGCGCCAGTAGAGAATTTAAAGAAATTTCAATAAATAGCCCGTTCAAATACACATTATTATGTTTGTCTCGTATGTAGTATACATAAGCCGGAGGAACTCATTAAATAACATCGGGCGATGTTTGCGTTTTAAGTTTTAGCATTGTTAATTAGTTTGTAAACGTGTTATTAACATGCTAGCTAAAACAAATAACATACGGCATTCTACCGAAACTAGCTTTAATATAATTTGTAATGTGCCTCGTCTTATTTGTTTATACATTCACGCCTTGTTCCCAAAGGCGTAGACAGAGACCATAGATCTCCCCTTGCTACGGACCGTCACGTCCATCCCCAACTGAGGGTTTTTAATTTCAATTGGACTTAGGGTCCTTCGAAAAAGAGCGTACCACTTCTTAAAGACCGGCAACGCTCTTGCGAGCCCTCTGGCAATGTGTCTATGGGCAATGGTCTGTTAGATTATTCACTTACATGACATTCACCATGCATACTCGTCGGTTATGACCCTCCCTGACCCTTTTCAAGTACGTCCTGGAGTTAATCCAGCTATGTATGAAAAGGCCTACCCTATCCAACCTCACCATCCACGGTTGTCTGTTATATCCTATCGAACCCACGACCTCAGGGATGAGAGTCGCAGGCTGAAGCCACTAGGCCAACACTGATCACGCCACTGCCGCTTCTTGATACATACGTATATATATTATACTAAGATGTATTAACTTTAGTTTTTAACTGTTAGTGATGTCAATTTCACCTGTTATGGCAATTTTAACGTGACGTAAATTTTTTGTTTGTTTTCTTGATTTTATAACAAAATTTAAGTCAGTAAAAAAACGGTATGTCAATGTGTATTTCATAAACCGCACACCGTATAAGACACAACTACGTAAGAAAACTTAATGCGGTCTTCTTCAAAAGAGTTATTAAAATGAAAGTTTTATATGTTTTAAGAGCAGTGTTGGGCGTAGTTTCAGCGTGTGATTTTAATCTGGATTTTCTGTCTGTGTGGTTTTGGGAAAAAGAAAAACCACGGGGAAAAAAAACGTGGGGAGAAAACCGAAACACCTTGTAGCATTCTTAGAAAGATGAATCTGATATTTTTAGGGTGGATTTAGTGTCACGCCGGCCGCCCGCCTGCCCGCGGCGGTGGGTGGGGGGGGATATTTAAACTTTTAGAAAGCTTTTTGAATGACGCGTAGCAAGCGCGCACGGTAAAGCGACGATGCTGCGGCCGTACGCGTGCGTACAGTGAGCGTTGTACAGTCATGGCAAATCGCAAAGTGGAAACAGGTCGAGTAAGAGGGTAGCTGAGAAAATGGTGGGAGGATCCCGATCCACTCTACAAAAATAAAGAGCTGAAAGCCTGGAGGACATGTCGCAGCATATAGAGAGCTCCTGCAACGGCTCTTGCAAAATGATAACATGATCTTAGTCGTCGCCGTTTGAGTGGTGTACAACAGAACAACACTCCGCATTTTGGTCTTCGTCTGTACAGTAAGCGTCAGGTAAGATACTAAAACAAACCCCGCTGAGCGTCGCGCTGACGAATTTAGGCGCTATCTATGAGCGCTGACGAGGGTGAGACTAAATTCAGACTAGCGACCAGAAGAGATACACAAATTTGAGGCCCAGACCTAGAAGGTTGTAGCGCCACTTTAGCTGTACTTTGTTTATTCGTTAATCTTCTGCTCTTTTGCGATGTCTCAGTTTACCCACCATGCTTCTTTCTACTGTATACTTATAATCGTGCAAATTAATCTCGTAAAACAAAAAAATATATACACTTCCAAACTTAATTTAAAAACTAAAAGCTTACAATTCATAATGCAGTACAAAAGAATAACCAAATACATGAGTCTCGCTTGAACAAGATAGGATATGGTTAAATTATTTTTATGTAGAAGATTGTGAGAATTACGTCTTAACTAAAAATTAAATAATTGTATGTTAAAAGGGAGTAATACCATCTGAAAATATTATAATTAAATTATTTTTTTTAAATGTCATAACTTTTGGTAAATATCTCTAACAATTTTATCATACAATGCGAAGTAGGTCAGAGGTTCTTCAAGCTACTCTAATAAATTAGCTGCTTAAATCTTCTGGAGCTTGATAAATTTGAACCGTTTTAATTATATTCAAGTTATTGTTTGTATCTTTGTTCCTTGTTATGTTATTGGATTTAAGCTTGAAGCTATTTAAGATAATGGCGTCTTTATGTCAGGCAATTTTAAGAAGTTATGAATTTTATAGGTTATGTTTTAATATCGCACCTAAGGGTCTAGACTTAGCGCGAATTATGACGCCCTTAAATCAATATTTATAACGTTTGATGTGGGACTCATGTTTTAATTGACAGAAACACATACAATAATAATAATGAAAAAATAAAAAAAAACAAAATTAAGAAAAATAAAAGGAATAAGGTACGTTTTAAGTGTGTAATGTGTGTGTGTTATGGTAGTAACTGGCCCTGGCTCAGCATAATGCTGTGGAGCAGACGTGTTCCACAGCGCTGGTCATTCTGCCAGAGACCACAACAGTTAGTTTGCGGCTAAAAGAAATATTATATAATAGTATTAAGATAAAAATTAACAGTGTAAGTAAAGGGGTCTTGGAATATTTGTGTGTAATAGTATATACATAGTAAATAAAAAAAATATTTGTTACTAAAACTACTATAAGAAATAGATAAATAAATTACAATATCTAACTTTTTTTTGTTTAAAAACCTTATTTCCTTCCTAGCATGCTGGCTGTAAAGCAAAAATAAATAATTGTATATTTTTAATACATAAAAGCTCTTAGTGCGCGTATGTGTTCTACAAAGCCAATTTTACTCCCAACTTTATTAACAAAAACATGAACGTTTGTAGAAGCTAACCTGAAATTTTTGCATTTATACATTTTTGCGTTTATCTGATTTTCTCTCTATGTAGTATATGCACAAAATCGTAAAATTCAATATTTGATAGAAGATATCATAAGAGATAGAGGTTGTCATATCCTTATTAATACGTCGTCATTATAAAGACGCTGTTAAAATATGCCGCTAAATTAGGTATACATCGATCATTCAAAGCCCGATCTATTATTAATGCTTATTAAGCCTGTATAAACAGTAGAAATGGATTATTAATAACGCCATATTTGTTATACGCTAGTCGGAAACGGCGGGAAAACCTTCAGTCATCTGTGTGTCAACTGTCACAAGCAGGCGTTACACAGATTATATTTTAGTACAGTATAATGTGTTTAAAATAAATATTTAAGAAGTATTCGTATATGTACATTATTTTAGGTTGCTAAGACGTCTGGTGCTTCCTACATATTTAATTCACATAATTAGTAAATCGATTAATTTTAAATATCTTAATATTTTTCGACACAAAGTACTATGACTCATAGATAGGGTTCTAATATGGTTATTAGTACAAAATAATTGCGATTTATTCAAACTGCTTGGTCGTTTGTTTCCAGTCCCATAAGAAAGCAGTCTTAATTTCAGTAATTTTCTTGTGACTATGAAATTTAACATCATATCATAAATCAAAAACAAAGCATTCCATAATTTGTACAGTGAAAACTCTATATAACGACAGAGACTGTACATATTTTGACGTTACAAAGAGTTTTAGTTAAATGGAAAGAGGAAAAATCTGAATTAGAAAAAGAAAAAGTTTATTTCAGACTAGTGTTAGTAATTGATCCAAATCTTCGTATTTAGGTTTCTTTAATTTTTTGAAAGATTTTTCATTCTCCTCTGCTTGTAGAAATTTTTTTCTTTATTTTTCCTTATTGTGGAGACGGTAGAGCGACTAAATCCAAAGCGTCTACCAACATCATTAACCCGCCTATATTGGCAACTTAAAAAGTACTTATTCTTATTTAATTTTTGACGTGACCGTTATTGAGGCTGGGTGTAATGCTATGTAGAGTGAAACCAAATCCAAGTGATTTCGTCGCTTTAGGGGGTATGTCGTTAATTGGAGGGACGTTTGGTTAAATAGTTTCAGTTAATAATATAACTTTCGTACGATGAAGGTTTAATATAGATTGTGTTGGAATCAAAAATCGTCGTATGTCAGACTAAACCACGGCACGGGATAAAAAAAAATAAAACTGTCGAAGCATAAACTTGTACTGGTAAACCATTGGTTAGTTTTATAGAGTATTCTAAACGGCCTTCAGTTGAATGTATGCAAAGCCGGACTCGTAAATTCAAGGATTAGGCTTCAGTACTCATGTGATAAATGGTGATTTTTTGCAGGGTGACTCTCCATTCGGGAAATCCGAAGCGTATATAAAGCTGGAGCAACTCGGCGAAGGGTCGTATGCCACAGTGTACAAGGGCTATAGCAAGTAAGTAACTTTTTTATTATTGTGATAATTTTAAGCACTATTAGCCTGCTTTTATTGTTTTTAAGGCTTGAACTGGTATACTAGGATAATTATGGGAATCGGTAAGCTATATAAACCTGGGGATTTAAAATATTTTTCTTTATAAAATAAATCAGTAGCGCTACAACCTTTTTAGGTCTGGGCCTCAGATTTCTGTTTCTGTTTTATGATCATTTATTTAGATAAATGATCATAAAACCAGGCAAGTAGGTGATCAGCCTCCTGTGCCTGACACACGCCGTGGAATTTTTGGTCTAAAGCAAGCCGGTATCCTCCCGATGTTTCCCTTCATCGTTCGAGCGAATGTTAAATGCGCACATATAGTCCATTGGTGCACAGCCGGGGATCGAATCAACGACCTCAGGGATGAGAGTCGCACGCTGAGGCCACAACTGCATTTTTCTTTATATCTAATTAATTTTTTTCCCAATATCTGTGATGTAGTAAAAGAGTGTATGTAAAATAAAATTGTTAAAGTTTAAACAGTGAAAGTCTGACGCGAAGCCATAAGCCCATATAGGGGTTGTAGTGCTACAGGCTACTGGATTATTATTAATTTAAATTATAAATTGTACCTTATATTTGGTTATAAATTTGGAGGTTTTTTTTTCTTTTTCTTGCCTACATATAATACTAATGTATCAATAAAGAAATTAACACAGTACATTTATTATTTGTATAAAGTTGTGTATAAGTAGCCAAAAATAGACGACAGATCTTGGCGTGTCACTGTAAATGGTGAGCTTTTGACCAATCACAGTCAAGCGTTGCTACTCAACGATACGTTTTAATTGTTTTTCTTCCTTTCTAAAGCAAGGCAAATTTGTATCTCCCCTTTTCAAAGAGAAATGAAGTCCTTTCTAAAGTGTAGTTACCAAGTTTATAAAGTTTTAATTGTATTTCTATTGTAATTTATCTTTGTCTCGCTAAATTGAAATTCACGACTGTTTGATTGAAATTTTGAATTCAGCAATTTAGAAAGTCTTGTTATTTAAGGGTATTCACTATTTATATTACTCGAATAAAATATATATATTTTTGTTCTTGTTTAGATTATAAATGAATGTATGAAATGAAAAGAAGAGCTATAAATGAGATGTAAGGAAGTTGATTTTCATTTTATCTTTAAAAACCTTAATTAAATTTGTCTCTTTGTGGGTGTAAAGTCTGGTATCGTATATTCTTATTGGAAACATAGATTCTTACTATGGGATATATAATGTTTTGATTTGTAAATTAAAGTCATATCGAAAGTCTAACTCTGCCTCAATATAAAATGATTAATAGGACTTCTATTTCATTCGCATAAGATCCTTTGTCAACTTTTATGGCTTAAATATATAACAATAAACTAAAAACAAAATAGTGTTATGAAAAATAATCAATATAAACTTGCTATATCAGACTACGCCATCAATGCCACATCTAGTAAAAAATCAAATTCGAACATCTGTGTTTTGCTTGGTTGACTGATCGAGTTTATTATGTCTACCCACATTTTTGGTGCTGTTTTTTTTGTTATTTTATATGTGTACCTACATCTGTGCGCTCTAATTTCTAATTTTTAATCTTAGTTTTAAATATTGATTCTCAGTAAGTGAATTATGTATGCAATTCTTATGAGAAATAAAGTTATTCTTAAACCTTAAAAAAGTCCACAAAGTTGATAAGTCATTCCGTGTGTATCCAGCAAAAGTTGCCTTTGGGCTACGCTCAAAATGTAAAACAGCCTCTTAGCCTACTTCGCGTCAACATTTTATCGAGAACTCAAATACAGAGGATTTCCAACCTGAATATCCCATTTGACTTTTAAAATTTGTGCAGTGGAGACTTAAAAGTTAAAGTAGTTGGAATAAAATTTAAAACGAATTGAATGAACGGTAATCAGTCTGATAACCAGCTGGGCGTTCCAGACGTTGACAAAAAAAACAAATTCAAGCTAATTTTTTTTAAATTTGTTTGCAAGGATTGATTGCAATTCCTTATATAATTGGCGATTTCAAAAAAATTACGAGAGTTTTTTTGTTAGTTCTTCTCGTCCGTTCTAGGCTCTTGATTTGAGAACCCTAATGAATAAATGACGGAAAATTAGTCTTATTACTATTTTTTACTATTGATAAAAAGCTTGCCAACGCTCGGCTCACTGATACATTGGTAAAACAACAACAAAATACAATTTTTAATGTGAAAAGCACTTAAAGGCAAGTGTTTAGACTAAAATTCATAGGGTTATATTGTTATTCTCTTTCCATTTCTAAAGTACTAATTTTTGGTTAGCTATTCAAATCTGATATTTATCGTGGGTCTAATCCCTGAACGACTGAAAGTGGTATATTCTATAAATATAATAAAAACAGACACATAAATAAAATATCTCACAATAATTCTCTTCGAGCGACACCGCAAATGTGAGCTAATATGTAATAAAATACCGCATTCATGTTCCAGTAATTGAAAGTTAGCAAGTTTCATTCTGCATGCTGGTGTAATTTTACTTGCTAATTCTCACTTTAACTACAACTACTTTACATTATTCTATTAATCAAGCGCTTAATAAACGTTCTGCATACAGTATAATACAAATCAATAACAGAAAATGGATTTTTTATAGGCTTTTATATGAGGTTATAAAACTACAATTCATAGCAACTATACTGGTATTTTAATATAGAAACCGGACATCTAGGTGTTAGTTTTAAATGTTAGTGACTAGTGCAGAAAGCTTGTTCAAGTCAAATGTTACCAATATATATTTTAAGATATTAAATATATTTTAAGTGTCATATTTCATGACTTTACGTTTATATTAGGTACTATATGAAATTGGCGTTTTGTATGGGAGGAACAAAAAGTAGTTTTTTTTAAATATAATGTATTTAATTAATCAAAGCATGTACCATTGATATAAATGCATTTTTGTTATAGGTAGTTCATTGATAGTACTAAAAAAACATTCGGGCATCAATACAATAATTTTTGAAGGCGGTTTTTACTCCCCCAGAGTTAAATGTCTTAACTTGCAAGAAGTTATCTAAATTTCGAAATAAAATGGTAATCTGTTGGAGTACGGTCCGGGGAGTTCGGTGGAAGTCTTGGACATTCCAATTGAAGCTCCTCTAATTTTGTATCAGTCTTTCTAGTATGTGGGCTAGCGTTGTCGTAGCCTAGAGCGATTGACCAGCCGTGATTGTTTAGTAGCTTTCCATAATGGTTTGCAGTTGCTAAAGATAGCCGTGATACATCTGCCGTGATCGTCAGGCTAGATTTAAGAAAGTTATAGTGAACGACCCCGGCACAAGTCAACGAAACGCTCGCAAGTAAATAACTGTAATAAAATAAATTTCCCCAAAGAGGAGATATTTGAGGTAAAAATGGCGAGTACGACAAAACGTTAATTTCATATGTAAGGACCTAATATAACTTTACTTGTACCTATATTTATTAACATACCGTAAAGATCAAATATCTATAGAATAACTTCTATAACATTAAAAAAGGTAAAAAGTTACTTTATGATATAATCTGAATGTCTGAGACCGGTTCTCTTATAAAATAGGTTCCCTCTATTTAAGGTTTATATATTAATAATTAAGAGAAAGCTCGCTATGGGGTCACAATGCCAATTAATTTTTCATCTCCGCTTTAACCGTATTCAATCGACATTCGCCCCCAAAGCGTTTTATGCTTGATAAACATAGTTGTCGCAGAAATTAGTTTGCATACTTAAGATGTAATTAATGTCTCGTACGAAGTTAGCTTAACACTTTATAAGTGCCACCGAAATAGGGCAACGCTCATCGCTTTATAGTATTAAAATAGAGTTACAGAAATTGTTAGTCAAGGTATGATAAAGTATCGCTTTTAAAACAGTTTGCAAAACGATTATGGATATAATTGCAAAGGAGAAAAATATAGCATTATTTGATAAAGCTTAGACGAAAATCATAGACTCTAATACGATCCGTATTTCTGTTTGACCAATCACAATCGATTGCTTTACTCTTGTCTGTCTTACGTCCTTGATTAATTCTATTTATCTATACACTCACACTTTTTTCCCGAAGGGGTAGATAGAGACCACGGATCTTCACTTGCTACGGTCCTGACATACCTCTCTCACTTGCTCCACTTTCATGACATTCCCCATTCATGCTCGTTGGTTTTCATTCATTACTAGATGTCAAATTTGTGTCAATAATTCATAAGAGCTTTTCATTACAACTTCACTCGACTAAATATTGAAATATTGTATGCTAATGACAGAATTTATTTACAGTTTAACACAGCAAGTTGTGGCGTTGAAAGAAATCAGACTGCAAGAAGAAGAAGGCGCGCCGTTCACGGCAATACGGGAAGCGTCGCTACTCAAGGAACTGAAACACGCGAATATCGTTACGTTACACGATATCGTACATACGAGGGAGACGCTAACGTTTGTCTTCGAGTTTGTGGTGAGTACAAAAGTCTATGTAAAGAAAGAAAGAAAAACCTCAATTAAACATAATAAACACTATGTTTTTTATCACATTAGAACGGGTTTTCTTGTATAGAAAGCATTATTTTGGTTTAAATAAACACGACTTTGAAAAACACTACACCATGACAGACAATGCAACTTGTCGATAAACAGAGCAAGCGCCAACTAGCGGCCCAGACTGTTTTACCGACGTTTAAACAGATATTCAGGGTGTCGGTTTTTTATGACGGCGCATCGTAAAAATTTACTCTCATCATTTTTCCCTAGTCTCTTAGTAGTCTATTTAGTTTACAAATAATTGCTGAAATAAAATGCCTAATCATTATACATAAGCAAATGCGTAAGTAAAAACTATAGTACATTTGTTTATTTTAAATCTTTTTGTTTTGGATAGTACTCGTAATAGGCTATAATAACATCACGCTATGACGTAATTCACGCTGGAGAAACCGTACCTAGTATAATATATAGTGTCAAAATAGAAATGCAGTTTATATTTTATACGTACATACTTACTGTTACTTAATATACCTACTTATGACCATTGGAGCAGTTGTTATTATTACTCTACGCAAACAGCGGAGCTGCAAAAATATACACCCTTACTAGCAAAGCAGTTTTTGTTGTTTATATGAATAAATCAATTCATTAATTTACTAAGATAATTCAAATATCTTATTTTTTACCAGGATACGGATCTATCACAATATATGGAGAGACATCCCGGTGGTCTCAATCGTCATAATGTTAGGCTGTATATGTTCCAATTACTTCGAGGGTTATCGTATTGCCATCGGAGAAGGGTCTTACACAGGTTGGTTTACATCAAGTTTAATATGATGTATATATTTAATACTTTTTATCGATGTTATGAAATATCTATAATGGAAATAAGAGTGGCCTAAATACAGGGCCTTGCGAAACACCCGCATTTAAAGCGAAATTCAATCCTAAAAACTATGGTTACATAAAGAGATGTGTCACTTAAATAGACGACCAAAAAGGACGACCTTGTGGAAACTAGAAAGGGTTTTTATCTTCTTTTTATGTTACCTCTTTCTGAGATCGCGATAATAAATGTTATATGTTATTTGTAGCCCTTATCTTCATAATAAGAATTTGTATAATTTATTAATATCTGTTATTTATTGTTGTCTTCATGAGATAATGCTTTTGTGGTTCTATTCCTGGTCAGCTCAAATTTTAATTAGATTTGTAATTCGTTCTGCACCTCTGGTTGGGAGGATGGTAGAATACCACTTAAGAAAATGGTTGCGAAGGTATTTCAGCCTAACCAGCCATTAACGTGTCAACAATGTTTTTGTATAATAATGCATTCAAAAGAATACAAAACCAACAAATTAGATCTTAAATAAATATCAGATTAGAACAAAATAAACTAGATATCCAGAGCTTGATATATTATGTAGTGCGCTCATCAAAAATAAAAAAACCGTTGGTAATTGCCTATAATTTTAAGGGAATAAGTATTTTTAAATAAATAATATTAGTAAAAATTTAAATTGGAAATTTTTTGTTTACCGTAATTAACATGTATTTTAGAATAGATATATTGTAACTTATACTATAGAAAATGCATTTATATGAGAGCGGTGTACTTTAATGAATTAGTATATACGTGCAAATGTACAGTATATACACTAGATTCATGTATTTAATAAGACATAATATATGTTTTTTCCCTAGGGACGTGAAACCTCAAAACTTATTAATAAGTTCGCACGGTGAGCTTAAGCTAGCCGATTTTGGTCTTGCACGGGCTAAGTCAGTGCCCAGTCACACGTACTCACACGAAGTTGTCACGTTGTGGTACAGGCCACCAGGTACGTACCGCTACCTTCTGATTTTTTAGCTCGATAGTAGAAGCAAGTGTAGGCCTAGTGGCTTCAGCGTGCGACTCTCATCCCGTAGGTTCAATCCCCGGCTGTGCACCAATGGACTTGCTGACTATGTGCGCATTTAACACTCGCTTGAACTCTGAAGGAAAACAACGAGAGGAAACCGGCTTGCCTTAGACCCAAAAAGTCGACGGCTTTTGTCAGGCACAGGAGGCTGTTTCACCTACTTGCCTTTTAGCTGTACAAATGATCATGAAACAGATACAGAAATCTGAAAATACAAAATAAAAGAAGCCGAACTTGCCTGTATAGAAGAGCATTAGTAGTGAACAAAATATATAATAATCCATCCGTAAGAACTGTCAAGAACTAACAAAATTGAATATATGATTACAAAACCACACGGACAGCAGAAGAAAAATATATAAATTTTTTATCGACGTCAAAAGTAGATTCTTGGAATTCATTTCTGAGTAAAAGATAATGATTTTTGACAGTTATTTTGCAGCATTTTTTGTGTTATATTGTTCTAAATTTGACTAGACAATATCTATATGATGTGTGACTTTGTAGATGTACTGCTGGGCAGCACGGAGTACTCAACTTCTCTGGACATGTGGGGTGTGGGATGTATTTTCGTGGAGATGCTTTGTGGTGTTCCCACATTCCCTGGAGTACGTGACACCAACGATCAACTTGATAAGATTTTCAAGGTGAGATAGTTCAAAAATCTTAACAAATATTTCATACAAAAGTTATTTTGTATATTTGGCTAATATTTGAATATAGTATAGCCTCCAAGCCAAATTTCGTAATCGTTATGTTTGTTCATTTATTTTTTGACAACTAAAATTAATATTAGATGAGTTAAACCAGCTGTATTTCAAGTTTCGTCAAAATCAGTTTATTTGTTTGCGAGATATTTTGAGAAGTAAGTAAAGTTGTCCGGTATATCTTCAGAAAATGATCTTAGCTAAAATCCCTGTAAGAAATGATTATTGTAATCATTAAAAGAACAACTGATTATAACACATATGCATGAAATTTTGTTTTAGGTCCTCGGAACTCCAACAGAGGAAAGTTGGTCAGGTGTAACTCGCCTACCGGGTCTACGCACGCACATTGCTCGTTGGGGCTGGTGCGCAGCTAGACCTCTCGCATCGGCTTTTCCGCGCATGCGCGACGCTGGAAGGGATGCGCAGAGATTAGCCGCGGCGCTATTACAGCCGGATCCGACGCGAAGGTTGTCAGCTCCAAGGGCGATGAGACACGATTACTTCGCTGAACTGTCTTCACGTCTTTCCGACTTGCCTGATGGTTAGTAGACTCGATTAATAGTAAGATGTCTTTGTTTCTAATGGAAAAAAATCTACTGAAAATAAGAAGTAATTGATTCCATTACGTTTTAAGCGCAGTTTGTATTGTGTTGTGCATGACTCACTGATTGAAACCTGTATCTTTATGTAAGTGCTATCGAGTGAAAAAGACTTATATGATATGTGTAGATTCTAGATGTTAACGGAGTGTAAAGTTGAAAGGTACTTTGCATTTCTTTTTAGTTACTGAAAAAGAACCAAAATTCCATATTATACAAGGAACAATTTATAACCCAAAATCGTCGAATACACGGCAATCCCCGTCCTTGTTTTGTCCCTACCCTCATCCTATTACAGCACATAATACGATTTACTATTAACAAGTAAGTGAAGCAGGCTTTATAATATTAATACTATACTACTGTTGAAAATCATATTACCATTTCTGAGAACTATTGTTGATGACTTTTCTAATATCCGTCTATAATCGTATAGGCTAACACTACAGTCGCATTATTGACCCTTTTATTTTAATCAAATCACAAATTTACGTTACCATCTATTTGTCTAAATAAATTAGGTAAAAAAATACCATTTATTCTTAATCTGCAAGAAAATCCTTGTCAAAAGCTTGACATGAAAGCTCCAACTGAAAAGAACGTAAAAACATCAGCTGAAGTAATGTTCGCGGTCAATTTGTTCCCTTTAATCCTGATAAACTCGAGTCAGAGACGTAATATGGATTTTATGTGCGCCTTCTCTCGAGTAAACAACTTACAGTACTCTAGAGCGCTTTGACGTTTATCCACGTTACTTTGGCCATAAATTCTACAAGCTTTACGCTTTATACAATCGTCGTGCTTCAGTTTTATATATAAGTAGCAGACCGGCCAAGCGTTGCTGTGGCTAAGGTTTTTGTTAAATTACATAGTAGCAAACTATTCAAGGGAAACGGTAGGAGAACACCAGTCATGGGGACCACCATGCTTTTTTGGTGGTTATGCCATTAAATTGTAGCTTATGTGAAACGTTGGTACTTTCAACACAGCGCCATCTGTTAGAATTGTGACTATCAAATAATAAACAAATTTTGGAAAAAAAAAATTGAGATTTAAGCTATCCTATCTTTTAAGTTGGATCAAACTACACGCGGTGTGCAAATTTGATTGAAATCGGTTCGGTAGTTTAGGAGTCCATAGCGGACAAACAACGTGACACGTAATTTATATATATTAAGATAATATCAGAATTTTGTAATTAATATATTATATAAATTCACGCGATTTCAATCACGCAGTTTTTCTATAATGTGGCATACACTTAAGAGACAACTTTTGAAACTCATTTTTAACTTAGTTTCGTATGAAGCACGCCCTAGTTCCCGAGCCCATACTTTGGATACGTTGCCAAATGTATGCATACGCAATTTTGGCACGAGAATTGTCATAACTCAAATATTTTCATTATATAAAACACATTATAGGGTTTCGTACCGAGGTTTTACAACTAAGGACAACTTTAGATGCATTTTTTATGAACATCTATTACGATTACATACATATTATGTTTTAGTCGATGGTATAAGTCCACTTTTAATATAAATGAGTAGGTTGATCGCCTTATTAATTACGCATGTTTTTGCCCATGTGCAAACATACACTGTTTTACTGAGTAACTAATATTTTTTTGATAACTTTTTATTTTTGTTTCAGAGGTGTCAATATTCACAGTGGAAGGCGTAAGTCTCCACCCAGAAGAATAAGAGCCCACCGAAGCGAACTTTTAGTTGAATCTTTGTTCCTTCTGTCGACATCGCGTTTCGGCAGTCGACACTACGTTTCATTTCTGGGGGGGGAGAGGGTCATTGGGTTGGGCGGTTCCAATTCCTATAGTTTTAATGCAAATTCCGGTTGACATTTTGTCGAAGGACCAAAAAGTGATATTCTCCCAATTCAGACGTACATTGATTGTCGTCCTTTGATTCTGCTATTTGCAACCATTCTGCCAGAATTAAAATTCGATTAAGATTTTAAAAAAATATCCGTCAAAAACTACTGTACTATTGAAAAATTTACCACGATAGCAAATTCAGGGATCTTTTCTGTACCACGATATCTCTTTATAATTTAACACCCCAATCCTTCACAAATAAAGTCTTGTGTGACCGTTCACCATCAATATAATTTCTTAGCCTTATAATTAATTGAATTTTATATCGGATTATTGAAATACCGCGGTACATATCGACTTATCGATGTCACGGTGTCAACGCTTTTTAAGCTTCAATATCCATCCATATGATTCAATTATTCTATGGTGACAAGGTAATCGTTAGGTGTCGATTGTATTATATTGAATAGCTGGCTTGCTAACTGACTTAATTGCACACGCATAAAATTAATATTGGTACTATAATTTCATACCTATGAAAAGTTTATTTCCGATTTTTTTTAATTTTGAATAAATTTGCAAATAATTGTTCTATTTCACTCGTATTTTCAGGACTTTCAAAGTTCAGAACATATACATATAACGCTTTGATATTTGTTAAATATAAACCTACAAAGATGAAATGATATATTGATATTTGCGAGGTCTGCTAGCAAGCCCGCAGAGCAGTGTGCCATGTATTGTATAATTGAGAGCGATTTATTTTAAAAGAATTTTTACGCTGGATATATGCTCATAATTTTGGGAGAAATTTTGAAGATGTTTATTTATATTATAAGCGATAAGTAACGCAGTCTTATGAGAGCTAGATGCACCCTTTTTAATTGGACATGCACATTCCTTCCAAATTATCGTTGCACTTTGCTTATCGGATTTAAAATAATTACACAATTGATGTCTTGGGGATTGAGGAAAACAAAAGAGCTAATAAAAAAAATTAAATCTTTGTTTTCCATTAAAACTTTTGAAGTTTGTTAAGGGGCCGTTCAAGTATTACGTAGTATAGGGGTCTAGTAGTACTATAGGGGTCTTTGATTTTTTTATTTGGTGATTACGTCAAGATTATTTACTTTTTACACACATATGCAACATGAAATGCATTTTTGAGGAGAGGGGGGGAAATTGCAATCTACTTACGTAATAATTGAACGGCCCCTAATGTAAAAATTGCAGTAACGGAAATGTGGGTAGTCCTTTAACGCTAAATTTAAATCCGGTAGGCATAGTGCGATCGTGCACATCATTAACCGTCTTTTGAATTGCCTTCTTCATTTATTATTGAGCGATGGACTGCCAGTGATACCATGTGAATTGAATGACATGTAGTGTTGGTCACATCAAATAAAAATAATTAGTAATTTTCGTAAGGGTTTTCTGAGTCGAGACTAGCGCTATTATTGGAGACTCGCCTCTGAAAGTTATGCCTTGACTATGATTTATTTAAATTGAACTACAAAATTTGTGGGAATAGAGTTTCATTCAAGTAGATATTAAAATTTTATTAGAGCAATGTTGGGCTAGTGGTTTCAGCGTGCGACACTCATCCCTGAGGTCGTTGGTTCGATCCCCGGCTGTGTACCAATGGACTTTCTATGTGCGCATATAACATTCGCTCGACGGCTGAAGTTTTAGAAAAATATCGTGAGAAAACCGGTTCAGAAATCTTAGGCCCAGGCTAAGAGTTGTAGCGCCACAGATTTTTTTTTTTAATAAAAAAATTTTTGTGTGACCGAGACAGGATGCTCAAGGTGTGGGACCTGCTGTATTGATTGGAATAATGGATCAAGTACTTGATTTCTAGAAAATTTATTATATGTCCTCACGACTTTGGAGCTTAGACTAGCGGCATTACAATTATTTTTGTAGTGAAAATTATTTGGAGTGACCGAAATAGAGACACAGATCATTCAAGGTCTTTGACCGGTCCTGTATTTCGTAGGAAGTTAACTTGATAGGTTAACTAGTGGACCCTCGCAACTTGTCCTGCAAGAATTTTAAAGCGGATCTAGATAATATGCCACTCACGACTAATAGCGACTTAGTGCTATTGCCGGGCATTTGTGAATCTAAACCTTCCCAAATCCCTTGTAGACAAATTAGATCAATCGATTTAGTTCGTAAATGTATTTCATATATATACTTTAATTTGTTTCTTAAAGCGCTGGTATTTTCATTTGAATACGCGAATGGAAGCAATAAGTTCAAGGAGCTTACATAGTTGATACGGACGTAATTGAAAATAGTGAACGGAATTTCTTTTCAACTTATAATTAGGTCCCTTTTAGTGATTGTGATTACAAACATGACATCTAATTGAATATTTACTTATGATTTTGAGCTAAGGATGTTGTTGGACTTTAAAACAAGACAACTTTTGTTACAAATGTTTTTAAAACGGTTCAATACTTCAAATTGAAATCGGTGAATCGTGGTTTTTAATTATAATTGGCAGATTCGCGTTTATCGCTTGCGGGCGGTAACCCGCAATGTGCTGTTAATGAAAAATGTATAGTTGAGTTGTGATTGCGCGGGTGTAGGAACGTAGTGTAGCGTAGTAACGAGCTTTAGATACGTTTACATTGGGGTAAGGGAGCGGTTCTCAACTGCCAAGCAGTTAACGCATTTAATCCAGGTTTTTATTAATTTCTTTATAAAATTGTATGGATATATGAAAAACTTTTCTTGATTTATTATGTAATAAAAGGCAAATGGGCAAGAGGCTCACCTGATGTTAAGTAATACCACCGCCCATGGACACTCATAATGCCAGAAGGTTTTGTGAGCCTTGTGCGTTACCGGCCTTTCAAGATTTGTGAAACACGTTAAGTTTATTCATATACGAAATAGCTATTTTTATTTCGTATGACATTTACTATTTAAGAATTGATTTCCGTATTAAAATCACGGAAAACATAAATTTTAAATTCATTTACATTATCTGACCAGACGCTTGCTGGCCGTCGGCTAGCAGAATTCAAAACGTCGAGAATGTAGTAATCCGTTTTTAATTTTGTTTCGGGAAGACAAAAAAAAGTTTTTCATATTTCCATAGCTTTACCCAATTTATGCCCATTTTAGCGTCAGTCATTAGCAATTATATTAATGAAGGTAGGTTAGGTACTAATTACGAAGTGCCTATACACTCACAAAACCGCTCCCGGGGGAAAAATCGGTTCCAAACACCAACTAGTATATAATGTAAAAACGCAATACTGTACATGTTTGTGTATTTTTTGTATTATTTAGTGGTCACCTGTTGAGTGAGGCACAAACGCACATGCGTTGTATACTGTATAATATAAATTTGAATGGGACTGGTGGAATTTATACTCGTTTTAACAATGTTGCTTCGTAAATATGTGTTATTTCTTCCATACTTTCTGTTTCTATATAGTTCTTTTTGGTCTGTGTTATGGTGTATTTTACACTGAATTATGTTGTATACGTTGACATTAAAACCTTCTTAAAGGCATGTGAACTTACGTGGTCTATGGAATTTATTAAAAATCTATGAAATGACAGTGACAAGTGACAATGCAAATTTGCGGCTGTCTGTGTTACTAATATAGCAAGAGTGAGTAAAAGGGATCTCAATATTGTACAACTACCACGAACTTTTTGATTGATACAAATATCTATTGTTAGTAGTTATGTTTTGTTCGTGTTAAAGTCTTTAGATATTGTATGAGTGACTTGACACTTGATGTCACTTTTAGCGATTCGTCTATAAACATTGTCTTTGGTCATTGGTTGTAACATTTACGTATGTTAAGTCGAGTATAATATTCCCAACGTGTAACTTGCATTTGTATAATGAACTGACCCTAACTAATGTATATAGTTTTAAGTTTATTCAAATTATTTAGTAACGACCCTATAATGTTGCCATTTCTTTAGTCGCATTTTCGCTTTATCTTATTTCTATGATTGGATTTATGTAAGGGTATCACTGCTGATGAAAGACTTCTAAGCAAATTGACGGCGATAATATTAGGACCCTAACATTAATAGCCGTATTATGAGATTTATTTTATAATTTCTATTTTAATAAGATTATTTTTATGTTACGTATAAAATTCACATGTTTTTTTACTACCCATATACCATGCTTTTAATAGTTTGAAAGGTGTAAATATAATTGAACTGATAATAATAAAGAATATTTCATAATTATATTTTGTTTTTTTTCTATCTATAATATTTAATGCTGACAAGAAAGAACACTTCCACAGGTAAATGCTAGTAATGTTTTGTACAAATAGTAACATGAAGTCTAATGAGTAAATATTGATAAATTAGCAAGATCACGAAGTACCGTTATAATTATCACATATTAGTATTGTTACGAAGACGGGTCGACTGAAATGCTGCTTCTCATCCTATTTTTCATCTCTTCTGCTTCGTCATCAGTTCACTCTAGAATATTCCTTTATCAAAGGGATTTACCAGTCCTGAAAACACCTGAAAACGGGTTTGAAAAAAAACTGTACCACTTGACTTGCTTTGAAACAGCCATTATTTCAGGGAACCTGGAAAAAGGGTAACTTTATGCAAATTCCACTTTTCTGGTACGTGATAGAGCCTGCTTTGAAACGGCCTTAAACAACAGCTTGCTGAAAACGTCTCTAACTTGTAAAAAAATTCAGTCAACCCGTCTTCGTAACAGTATCTTTGTTTTAAAACCAAAAGACATATATATAACCGAGTCTAACGATTTTTGTATAATTACTCGTAGTATTCTACTAGTAAATACAACGATCGTAACATCCCGTCCCTCAACACCATGACATGGTCATTGCGAACCTTCTGGCA